TTGACTGACAGAATGCAGTACAAGTGACATCTTGGGATTTCCCAGGGCTAGGTCATATAAAGCCTTGCAGCTTCTGCCTGGGCTTTCTGGAAGGTTTGCTCTTGGAACCCTTAACTACCATAGAAAACAAGCCTATCCATATGGAAAGGTCCTGAGATCACTTGGGGAGTCAGGGGACCCAGCTGGGCCCAGTTTTCGAATGTGTCTTCCTATGTAGGTGTCAAGAGTGAGTGAGGTCCTTTCAGACCTTCTGGCCTACGCATCCCCAGATGAATCTCATCAAATGACCTCCAGTGATGCCACATGGAACAGAAGACTCACCCAGGTGATCCCTGCTCAAATTCTTAATCCACAAAATTATGAGCAATAATAAGATGGTGGCTGTTTTAAGCCACTAAGTCTTGGGGTGCTTAGTGGCTTAAATCAACATCAACAAATAATGAAACACAAAACACTGCTGGACCCTCGTGACTCAGGCTTCAGAGGCTGAACTAACACTAATGAAGGCTTTTGGCAAGGGATCAATCACTGGATATTGGACAACAACGACACCTGAGTGGCACAGATGAGACAAAGGAGAATGTGTTTCCATAGGCCATCTGTCCTAGATTATGTTTTCAAATGCATTTGAATAGTTTCCTTTTGAACATACACCATATGCCAGTAATGCCAATGCACTACCCCACCAGGTGAACACCAGTGACATGAGCAAACTGTTTCTTAGTGCTATAAGGAAGCTACCCACTGACTGCAGCGTTCATGCCATCAACTTGATGATGTAACTAGCACACTCTATGTTGTTAAAAGGTGGCAGTTTGGCACAAGGACATGTGAATCAAGTGATTAGATGCAAACTAAAAGAGAGATGACTATTTCTGAGAGCTGTGGGTTAATTTTTTGGCTGTTCTCGGAATGGAAAATGATTGTGAATTTTGGGGGAAAAATACCAGAGCAATCTGCTTTCTTGGCCGCGTGCTATGGAGCAATTTTAAAGCCTTGAAGTACTTTCCATATTTTCCAATCACTCAAGTCCAGAGCTGATTATGGCTGTCAGCATCTCTCAGATTCACACCACTGAAGCCTCCTACATCTTTCAGGGAGAGGTTTCACCTTGAAAGCAGGTGCCTGGATTCAGAAGGCACATCTTGCTACAGCAGGAACAAACAGTTTAATTGCAGCACAGCTCCACATGGGCCAGGTGTTTTGGAAAATCACTGATGGCCCAACTCTGAGGCAAACTAGATTCACTTTCTCTTATCTCACAGAAGCAAAACATAACCTCTTCTCCAAACAGAAAAAGCAGAAACAAGCCCTACCAGAAACTGAATTCTTCCAAACAAAACCCAGAAACATTTAGATTGTTGAGACCTGTGGGCAAGAACATGCCTGCACTCACAGGCGTGCACACACACACACACACACACACGAGTTGTATATGACAGAACATCTCTAGAGGGAGCTTCATAAAACTGAGAATTGTGGTTTCCTCTGTGGAGAATTGGGGAACTGGAGAAAATTAGAAGGTTGGTGAAAGACGAAGACTTTTTTTTTCCACCTTAACCTTTGGAATATTTCGAATTAAAAAAAATCATGTATTGTGTTACTTTTTAAAATAATGAAACAGAATAATTCCAAACCTGTATATGGTAATTAAGATGTGCTAGGGAGTATATTTAATGATTTATGTATATTCACTTTTTAATCCTATAATAACCCAAAATGCAGACATCATTATATATTTTCCTGATCTTACAGATGACGAAACTGAGATACGAACAGGTCAGGTAACTTGTCCAAGGTCACAGAGCTAGTAAATGCAGCACTGGGATCTGGACTCAGAGTCTGGTTTTGGAGTCTGTCCTCTTAATTGCTACAGAATACTGCCTTACCCCCAATAAACATACTCAGGCCCTTGATCATAATTCAGTTGGAGTACATAAAATTGTTCCTTTCTTCTCTCACATGATCAATATCAGGTCAATATCATGACTTTGGCCAAGTTGCTTAATCTCTCTGAGCCTTAGCCGCTAGTATGTACCAGGTATTCTTCTAGGCTTTGTGGATAACTAGTGAATAAAATAGAGTCCCTGCTCTCAAGAAACTTCCTGTATTCTGGCAGAAACAGGCAATAAATAAACAATCACAGAAATCATAATGTAAGCAATAAAGAAAAATTAAGGAGTGCATTGACAGATGAAGATTGGGAACCCTGATTTATGCTGAATGGTCAGGAAGTGACATTTACACAGAGTGCTGAAAAACAGGCAGGAGTAAAGCAGGGAAAAATGGAAAGGGGTGGGGGAAAGGAAAAATGTTATAGTGGAGAGAACAGCCTATGCAAAAAACTGGGGCAGGGAAGAGGTGTCCGTCTGAAGACAGAAAGTTCTGTGTGGCTAAAACAGAGTGAAATTGAGTTTGGAGCAAGAGGCAGATCATGTAAACCAGCAGTCCCCAAGCTTTTTAACATGGGTTTTGTGGAAGACAATTATTCCATGGCCGGGTCAAGGAGGATGGTTTAGGGATGAAGCTGTTCCCACCTCGGATCATCAGGCATTAAATTCTAATAAGGGGTGCACAGCCTAGATCTCTGTTACGCGAGGTTCACAATAAGGTTCGCCCTCCTATGAGAATCTAACGCCAATGCTGATTTGACAGGGGGCGGAGCTCAGGCGGTAGTAAGGTAATGCTTGCTTCCCTGCAGACGCTCACCTCCTGCTGGTACCAGTCCAGGGCCTGGGGGTTGGGGACCCCTGATGTAGACCATAATTTGGCTCACCTCCTACCCTCCAACTGCCATCTAACATGTTTCAATTGTGCATCCTATCAGCAAAATTTTTAAATGTATATAAATAGGCACCTATATTCATATCTATATCTCTATTCATATCGATTATATATAGATACACATACTAAAATATGAACAAAAACATTTTCAAAAATAGAAGCTAAGAAGAATGACAAAGTAAATGATGAAGGGGCTGATATTTTCTTCTTGCCTCCCAAAGGATTGTCTTGCACATCTCCTGAGCTATCTCATCTCCACTCTGGGACTAAAGCTCCAATCCAGAAATCAGTAAGGCCAGTGTTAAGTGAGATTCAAAGAAACAGAATCTCTTATCATGAAACCCTGAGAACTCTCCTGAGTTTGAGGGGGGCTCCTTTTGCACAAATACTGGTTGTGCAAGGATTTCACAATTTTCCTAAGAGCCCTGGGAAGCCACTGAAAGTTATAAGCAGAAATGACATAACCTGATTTACTTTTTAAGAAGATTACTTGGGCTGCTGCGTGGAACATATGTCTAGGCAGTGGCAATGGAAGAACGGAAAGATCAGCTAGGAAGCTGCCACAGGAATGCAGGCAAGCGATGGAGATGATTTGGAATAACGAGGTGTAGGAGGGAGAGCAGCAGTAGATACATTTGAGATCTATGTTAGTGGTGCTGTATTTTGTGAAAGGAGATTAATAATGTTAATTATGAAGTGTTATTGTAAACACAAGTTTACAGGTGCAAAAATGTTTTGTCAACTGTAAGGTACCACAGATAACTATTAATATAACTATAGATGATGAAACCAAATACTAGAGATCCTAACTTGCCCAAAGTCACACAACTGCTTGGTGGTGGGGAGGAAGGAGTTAAAGCAATTGGCCTGCAAACCCTTTACTTCCATCTCTGGGGGCATATCCCAGGGGACAGAAAAGAAGGCTGGTGACCAGGTCTAATCTCCTTGTCAAATGGACTTCTTAGTGGATAGAGTTATGATATGTAGGATGTTCCTGGCTAAGAATTACCTCTAGTGAATATATTCCAGGACCTGCGAAGCAAGGCTCCTTGGAGAATATCGCATCAGCTATACAACTCTCTGTGGTATAACAGGGAGATGTTTTGTGATTGAAATGCTCCATGTTCTGCAGGGAGAATTTCCTGTGTTCCTTACCTATTATTCTGAGTGAGATGTGTGTCCAGTGAAGGAATATAGGTCCTTGGGAGACACGCTTGGGTCTCAGATTTTTCTTTACCTCATATGAATTTCTTGATTGCCTATATTCTTGAAACTATTTAGCAAAGCTGGATATTGGGTAAGATCTCTGATTCATATGACATGATTTGACAATCAGATCCCCGGCTGCATTCAGTGGCACGTATCTGTTTCCTGGGCTATATTAGCTCCACTGTAGCATTGAGTTGCAAATTATAAAGTCCAGGGATGAAGGGAGAACACACTTGGTTATATTTGAACCCCTTACTAGAGGCAAAACTAATATTTATTCGACACATCAAATATATATCTACTTGAAAATAATTTTGCGGACTATTTATGCAATTGAAGAAACACAATGTATTTGGCTTCACTGTGCCTGAGTAACACTGGAAGTACACAATAATGGGTTGTTTGTAATAGTTCATGTGGTTACACTGGGAGGTGAGCCTGGCTTTTTGGGTCTCCAATGACAGCTCCTAAGCAGTTCTCTGAGAGAGGGCTTTTTAGATGCATAGATGCTCACCTCTCACCCTCCAATTGCCAAAGAATCAGTACGGTCTCAATGTTCTGCCGTGAATATCATTCCCCAAACCAATCACGGCCCTCCTAAATCAAGAGTTCTCTCTCTTTTTTAAGGTGCACAACTTGGCTTCACACACAAATTTTGTTTTGAAACTTAGAAATGATGACAAAAGACAACTGTTACTTTAGCTGGAAGGGAGGGAAACCTTTGCGTCCTCTCTGCTTCGTAACAAACTATATTTACGCTGGAGGCATCAAAAGATAGAATCAGCACACAGACCTCACTTCCTACTCCTGGTGCAAAAACCACTGATCATGAACTGAGCTGTTACAGATAAAGCACGTCAAAGGGCCAGGGCGGCTTGTGGCAAATGCTAAACAAGAGAAGGCTGGCAGGTGTGCATGACGACAGCACAAACATGTTTTATGTAGAGAAGACTTTTGACATCCTTTCCGCCCCCAAACACGCTCCCAAACCAAAGCCTGATGTTTACCTTCAGCGAGTGGGTCAAGGGTGTGTATCATGAGCTGAAAGATGCTATTCCTCATGAGACTGTTGTGGAGGGAGGCAGAGCTTCCACCTCGCTGGAGACGCGGCTTAGCCTGAGTGGAGAAACCAAAGAGGTGGTTAGTCTCAGAAATGAAAGGCAAGTGCATTATAGACAAGATCCTCACCTAGTCTGGTGGCCACTCGTTTCTGTGGCATGATCACACACTACTGAGCCAAAGGTTTTCAAAGTACATTTCAAAGCCCCTGAGGGAATGGCTGTCCCACATCCTTTCCTACTAAATGAATGCATTGCTTCTCTGTTAAAAAAGAGCTTTGTAAATGCCAGGCAATGTGTTATATGCTTCACATCTGTTCATTTATCTCATTGGCAAAATGAACTCTATAAAGTAAATGCTATTATTATTCTTGTTAGATAGATGAGGACATTTCATCTCAGAGAAGTGAAATGAGGTGTCCAAGTCATACTGACAGGAAGTGGAGGCTGGAGGGATGGGTCCCAGGTCTGCTTTTCTCAAACACTACTCTCTAAACCAGTGGGTCGTCGCTAACATTTTTGAAGTGTGCATCCTATCAGTAAAATGTTTAAATGTATATAAATAGGTATCTATGCCCATATCTACATAGACACACATATGAAAATAGAAACATAAAAAACATTTTCAGAAACAGAAATTAAGAAGACTAACGCAGTAAATGACAGAGGTGCTAATATTTTCTCCTTGCTTTCCAAATGTTCGTCGTTCACATCTCCTGCGCTATTTGTCTCCACCCTGGGGCTACCCCTCTGATGCAGAAAGCAGCATGGCCTGTGTGAAGTGAGACTCAAGGAGACAGAACCTGCTGTCATGAAGCCATGAGACCTCTCCTGACTTTGAGGGGGGCTCCTTTGGCACAAACTACTAGTTGTGATCCTTTGGCCAAATAAGTGAAAATGGTAGGTGAGCAGGGAGAATGAGTATCTAAAGTTGCCAACAAACTCTTTTTCTTCTATCTTTAAAAGCAAACAACCTATAAACTCCCAATTCCTCTGTATTTTGACAGGTTTTTACCCTGAATAGGATCTGCTGCCTCCCCACGGTTGATTTTGTGCTGATGATCACAAGCGGAAGACGCTCTGAGGCAGCCAAGCTTTACAGACAGACGGACTTAAGGAGTCGAAAGGTATTGTAATGTAAAGGAATTCCTTTCGGATTGAACTTTCAGTATAAAAGCTTGATATGTAAATTTTCTGGGACAGGTAAAAATAAAATACTATTCTTTGTCATGTCTTTTAAACTTCTGCATAACAGGGTTTTCCAAAATATTCCATTATATTCCAGACCCACAAGGGGGCTTCCCCAAAAATGCCCCATAAGAGATTCCATGATCAAATACATATTTAATATATATTGGAAAGTGCTATATCCTAGACCAACTCACCTTAGGGTTTCAAACTACACATTAGACCAGTAAGTCTGACACTACAGAAATATGTTTAACCTAATTAACTTGGGCAGTGTTTTCAAACTATTACCCATAGGCTCTTATTTTGTGAAATACTTGTTAATAATCATGGTCCACACATTTGGAGACAAACGTGAAACCCGTAGAAAGTATGGGTAAAATCTCACTCTGAGGTAACCGAAGAATCTGGCTTGCTTAGTGTGATTCATTGTAATATTCTATTGGAAATCATATTGCCAATTCAATAGGGTTGGAAAAGAATCAGTGGGGATTACTGGTGTCTCAATGGTGAACCAGATTATAGCTCCTCAGTAGAAGAGATTGAGTCTGTACCCTGCTTCTGGTACTGGATCAGGTGTATTCTATGGGCTCTCAGTGAATGTCATGTCTTTGCTCTGAGCATTACAAGAGGAAAGACAGGGTCATATGTATCTTTATTATGAATTGTTTTAGCCTTGAAAATCTTAAACCTTTCTGAATGTATTGTGTTATAATAGAGGATTCAGATGATTAAGGTTCAAAATATTTTAGGAGCAAGCTTAGGAGACCTGAACAGAATGGAAATGTAATCATTGTTTCATGGCTGAACACAAAAATTTTGAAGGTTGTTTCTTTACCATGCTGCAAAATTTGAATTGTGATGTGCTAATTAAATAGGAACTAAAAATGTGTTTATCAGTAATAATTTGTCATAACCTCTATTGTCCTTATTCTTGGAAACTGGAAGAACTCTGCTGTGGAGATCTTCATCTGAAAAAGATTATATCTCGAGAAATACTGAAAGCATTCTTTTGGGAAGTAAGTATACATATTAAGCATATAGGTCTCATTCAGCATTTCTTTTGATGAGGCCAAAAGAAATTTCCAATCAGAGGATGTGCCTGCATATACACAAAGAAAACAGATACTGAGCATTAGATCCACACCACCCCCAAATACTAGTTCAGCATCCCTTGGAATGCAATTTGGAAATATCTCACTCTTCCAATGCCTAAGAAAGTTCATACCAAATGGAATAGGAAATTCGAACTTTTGAAACCTAGTCCCAGAAAACATGAGTCAGTGAATGTCATAATTCAGTTATCACTAATTGTAGCATGGAGTAGAAGTACACATCAGGGGTTAGACTATTTAAGTTTTCCAAGGGAAAGAGTGATTATTTGAGCACACAAACCCCTCTTACTCCCACCCCCGCCCCCCACTCTCCACAGGCACACGAGCAGGTACAGACAAAGCCACTGCTTCCTACCGGTAGAGTCGGTTCATCCTTGTCCCTGGCTGCAGATGGCTGCATAAGAGGAAAAGGCAAAGACAAAAGACAAAGAAATAAATAAGTGAGGAATCACATATGACATTTACATTTAATAACAAGCATCAGTATAGGGGAAGATTTCGTTCTTTCTGCTCCTGGGATGAGTTAAGCCAAAACAGGGGACTGAGGATATATATTTCTAGCTAATATATAATGGTTTATTTAGGTACATGATTCATTCTTCTGAAAGGTCAAAGTTGAATGGCCAACCTGAATGCCTAGCAATACAGAACAGTTAAGTCAACTGTGGCCCAGCCATGCAGTGGAGTACCATGTGATCATTAAAATGAATGAGGTAATTCACATGTACTGATATGAAAAATATCTAAGATATATTGATAGCCAAAAAATTAAACATTTATAAATATTTATTGTTTCATTTCATAAAGAAAAATAAATTACAAATACTTTAGTGCCTGTAAAGAAAAAAAGTCCTGCAAGAATGATACCAAATTATTATTAGTTGTTGTTACTGGGAGATGGGATTGCAAAGAAATGTCATTTTCTGTATGTTTCGGAGGAAGTCAGCACTCATTGCTCTATGTATTATGAATAAAATAAAGCTCACAGAAGTTAGGCCACTGAATTAAAGACTAGGGTTATCCTACAGGGAAATCAGATAACCCATCTTTTCTTCTGTTCCCACTACCTCGAGTTTTCTATTCTAAAAATAGAAGTCTCTGTTCAGTTGGGAAATGTGGATTAGAACACAAGCGCACATAAAGGCCTGGCAATCTGCTGGTAGTGAATGCAACGCAGACAAGGGGGCAGTGGAATTCTACCCACATGACCTACCTGGACAGCTTTTACTTCCTCAACTCAATAGGAACTCTCCTTCTTTGCCAGAATCAGGCACTACCCTGGGATCTCTCCAACGAGATACAGGTGCCTGGTGAACATTTCCTCATGCTTAGACACTACCTTCATCACTTCACCTCAACTACAGGTGCAGACAGCAAGAACAAACTGGTACACTTCCCCTTCTGGTCCTCCCCATTAGGGTCTGAGCAGATGTCTTCAGGAATAACTATACACTTAGAGAAGAGTAGCCAGATGCAGAGCTATTTTAAAACCTTCACATGCTCTAGGCTTTCTCTTTTAGGGTCTACCACACAGGTCATATAAAGATATTAAGATCTCCCCATACCCCATTTAAAATATACAGTTCACCTAAAATATACAGTTCTGTGTAAAAAAAAATAGAAGGGGCTCTTATAATTTTGAATTTCAAATTATTGGCTATGTGCCATTCATTTAATTTAGTATTAGCATGCTCAAAATCTTACAAAGTGAAAAGATCGAATCTACAATTTGTTTTCACTTGTAATGGATTTTTAAGAAGATGCAATTTAATACATAATGAGGCTGATGTTAAATATTTTGTGGATATTGAATTCAACATTTAATAATTTTGATTTTTATAGATACATTTTTGGATTCTGGAGTCAATACCAATGTGTTTTTTTCCCCTTCTGGTTCCAAGCATTTTTATAGGCTCTTGAAGAACTTGCAAGTCTCAGACATAGAAGGGTTCTGGGTTGGTGGTAATTTCTGAGCACAGCCTGTGGGCATCTCTATATTTGCCATACCTCTTGGGTTAGAAGCTCTCTCTCAGTGACTTCTCTAAAAACGCTAATAGGGAAATATCCTGATGCCCTAGTTCCCCAGAGCCTGTTGTGGAAGTGGAGTGGACAGGAAACTGTCCTTTGATTTCCCACTTTCCTCTGAAATCCTGCTTCTCTCTGGCAGGTCCTCTCCTTTTCTTTCCTTCCACATCAGACAGCTCAACAAATGGCCTCACATTCTATAGAGCAATCCCTCAGGGAAATTTTCCAGGGCAGTAAGCTCAGCCTGTAGACATACATTGAGATGAACCGTCAGAGCACTCCTCATCAGTTAGCAACTTTACACTTTGTGGCTAAATGGAAGGCCAATAATTATGAGCTGGAATTGATACCACAGTGATAGAACACGAAGGGACAGGATGAAGGTGGGGAGAGAAAGGGGTGGGCTTTATAAGGGCAGAAACATCACCAGCTGAGTTTGAATTTTAAAAAATATATCTAACTAAATTATTTAAGGAAGGAAAAAAAAATCCAAACCTGTTTTTTAGTCTGAAAGGAAGAAAAAAATATCTACTCTATTGAATTCCTTTTTCTCTCATAAGCAAGGAGGATCATAATACATAAAAAGTGGAAAGAAAATGCCTTGTATATAGATTCTACAAAGAAAAAATTGAGTGCAGAGAAAGGTCTGAAATTCTTTACAAAATTTCCCACTGTTTAATGTCTGCAGTTGACATCATTAGTTTTCTTTCAAGTGTGATCTGCAGACATGAATATACATCAGGGTATAATGGGTAAATTTAGGAATACACACAAATGGCAGCGGAGGCCATTAAAACACCCCTCTACTTTCCTTTTATGTAGCCCTGTTGCAAGAGATAAGAAGTGTGACTATTATGGTAATTGCCCATTTCCAGGGGCTCACCCACATCTACTGATAATTCAAGGTTCACCTGACTTAGCCTTGCTCTAATTGCATCCTGAAGCAGCCTCACAGTCATGACAACGTGCAGTTGATTGCATTACAAATTTAATTTTAAAGGGGTTTAATTACACTGGAAGTAACTTGCAAAGGTGACAAAGAAATGATTTTCATATGTATAGCTAGTGGGTTTTGGGTTGGCCTAGTGTTGTGAATTTATTTTTAGGGCCATTGAATAGCTGGCAAGTTTATTCTAACCCATGGGATGTTACAGAAGACGCCTTCTTCAAAAGAGCACTAACATGACTTTAAGGATTACTCTTGGCGTTCTTATGATGCATTTTGCTTTTTAACTCCTTTAATTTTAAACACACCAAAATACCACTCATTTGGGCTGTACCATTATGAAAGCCCAATTCCTGGTGGTCAGTGTGCTGCAGAATAGCTTAACGAATTCCTATAAATAAATAAATAACTTAATGAATGCTTTTATAAATAAATTTCCGATAGCTATAGGAAAAAATCTTTTAAGCCAACCCGTAGTGCACACACAGCAATTCTTTGAGGACTGTTTAGGAGAATTCATAAAGTGCATCGTGAAGTTCAGGTCAGGGCTTTGGCATGCCAATGCAGACTCCCCTCTCCATTCATGAAAGCCAGACTTTTGCAGGCCATCTTCCATTTACAAGAAAGTATTCTGTAATTCAAGCCTTTATTCGACTTAAATCATCTCTCTTCTCAATAACTCCAAATTAGTCATATGGTGAATGCACTTAAATTGAGCAACTGGAAGATGCTGTTAATCTCTATTGTCCTTCCTGGTGGAAATCCCATTTCTACATAGGAATTTTGCTACTTATTTCATAGGTGTTTTGAAAGTATCCATTTATGCTGCTACCCCAGATAATAAAATGCATAGCTCATTTAGATAGCATTTTCAAGCTATAAATAAGTCCCAAGTCCTTAAATCATCTTTCTTCCTTTGATCCTCAAAAGCCAGAAATGATTTTGCTGACTATAAAGTATAGTTTTGATGGAACTTTGTATATAGCCTTTCACCACATAGACGCCCTTAGTCCCACCTCACACACATAAAAATTAGGTCAATACTGCAGTCCAGCTGCCTCAGGGCCACTCAGTAAGAGGATACTATCATGTCCATGGTTCACTCTGACTGGTAATTATCCATTTACAAACCACATAATCAAATGGGTCACCATGAAGACTTCATAGGCCAAAAGATAAGTGTGTAAAATAAGGGACGGTTTTTCTGGTCAGTGATGTGGCATCAGATACAGAAGAACAATAAGCAATTTGTCACCAAAGCTAAGTAACAGCCATCAACTTCCACCACTTTAATATTCCACTGACTCCTGCAAAATGTGCCTAAAATGCCTTATGCCAAGGACCTGGAAGCATTAAGAAGTCTATAGAAATAAACTTAAACATATAATTATTTTGTCAAAAAAAATCTGAAACAAATATGCCCTTGATTAAAACTGGAAACCAATATTCCAATGGACATGAATTTTAATGTCTTAGAATTCAGAAAGATTTGATGACGAATGATTTAAATGACTGATATTCATTTAAAAAAACTAACATCAAAGTGTAAAATGATGTCTCCTTTTTCTTTCAATACATTACTGTAATAAACAAAAACATTCAAAATGTCTCTCCTGGTTAAAGATGAATAAACCTCAAAGCCTATTGGGAAGACTAGATACAAGGTGCAGAGACCACAAATCTGCAGTCTAAAAGGAAAGAGATCCTACCACCTCTTAGTCCGATGGAAACTCATCTCTCTCTCCCTCCTTTTACTGTGTCTTTACATATTTCCTAAAACATTAAGGGAGGAGAGATTAAATATATTCCTAGAGAAAGAAATAGAAATTTAAATTCAAATTACTTTGCCTGGTTGCTGGGTAATTATCCCACAATCATGCTCCTTCTGTAAAGAAGGAATCTCAGAGAACAATGAAGTGCTGAAGAGGATAGCCCAGGGTCCAGGAATACCCATTTTACAGTTCTGGTTTAAAGAAATACATTGTGATGAATAGAAGGGGTAGAAATGATCTAAATAAGAAGTGTGGTAATGGAAGCTCACAGTGTGGAAGCAAAGCCTTTTGATGATCTGTTTGAATAACCCTCAGGATCATGAAATGCTTGAGATAGTAGAAAAAAAATTGAGAAGAATAGATATGTTCGCCAACATGGGAGGAATAGAAGAGAAATTGCTTAGAGACAGTTGAAGAACAATTTGAAATACTCAGTAAGGGAAAGGGGCCAGGGTGACTTCATGAAACAGAACTTAACTGACAAGTTAAATCTACACAACTGTAATCAGAGTCTCTAAAATTTCTTGATCATATACCATTGTCAGAAACATTCTATATTCTCAACAAGTAACACATATAATGTGAATCTTCATGTACTCTTTTATTTTAGTTTAGTTTTTTAAGACATAGAGGCTTGCTCTGTTGCCCAGG